TCTAGTTTGGTGATTTTTATTGATAATATTAAGTGGTTGTCACAAAATGTTCATTCGTTTTGTGAGAGGGGGGACGTTTTTGGAGTGGGAAGGGTGGATGACAGATGTTGCTTCCTTTCACCGAGGTTGGTGCATCCTCTGTTTTTCCCTTATCAGCGAAAACTTTCGCTTTGATGGGAAATGTTACCCCTCTCATATCCCCCTTTCCATCCGTTCTCACGGAGAAGTCTCTGCATGATGATTGGTCGCTGATCGTGACATATAGAGGGAATTTGACCGAATTCGAGGAGTTCTTCGACAGTTTCCAAAGTGACCAGACTCCACATACGTTTCCCTCCTGATGACCAACGCCCTTAAACGAGTCACATAGACTAAGTCCCGAGTCTGCACGTAGAAGTGATACTTTTATATTTGTGCACATATCGATCTCCCATGTTAAGAAGTAGATGAACTTTATCTATAAGGTATCTTTGCCAATACAGAGAAGAAGACGAACGACAACTAAACAGGTCGTATGTTTTATAATAATTTTGTGAGCTCTCTCTCTCGATCGCGCATCGGCATAGTATAAGTCCTAGCTTAACTCGTGTAGCTTAATTGTCTTATTGATATCCCTCGTTCATTGATATTTGTATTCGTTGGTTTTTGAGTTATTAAATTTACTCTTGTTAAATATACTTAAATGTCTCTTAAATTTATTCCGAATCAGATCGCAAACGTGTGTTTGTCCGCGCAACGATAAATTGACAAACTGGTGTCAAGGAATCCTGACAAGGATCTGAACTTCACCGATTCAGATCTATTAGCGATTATCGCCCTCCTATATGAAATATTTGAGATCAGATCTAGTGATCTGCATCCTAGAGAACTAGTCTTACCGACTAGTGCCGATTAAGTGTTACACGAGTACTATCTACTCCGTAACCCCGGCTAATCTCACACATGCCTTCTGAACAGGGAACCCTCATTCAAGAAATTACCACACTCATGGCTCAGAAACCAGTTAGCCATTCTGGCAAGCAAGCAATGGCAACATGAATGGGATTGTGNCCAATGCATTATTGAAGGGAACCATAAACTGAAGAAAATTCCATCGTTTCTGTATTAAATTTATAAAAAAAATTGTATTGAAATGTTTCTATGTATAGTGTGTGTTCTATATCCACTGAGAATATATAATCTTAACATTTATGCACTACGAGTTCTTAATATTTATAACGGTTCTGTCTTACACGCAACGATAATCAGCTGGGTTTATATGAAGTACAGTTTATTGAAAAGGAACAGAATTTCCTTTCATTGTGTGAAGAGTACTTATTTGTTTCTTATTGCAGAGAATTAAAAATGTATGATAAATTACATAAATACAGAAAAATTTATGTGTATTTATGTAATTTATGATGTTTTCGTAAATTTATTATCACTTACTGTTTGGCCTATGATTACGAGCTTTTCGCTTTTTATGGAAATAAAGAAACAAAGTAGAACAGATACAGAGGCATTGATTTGTTCCGTGTTCCATGCATTAACGATTGTTTACAGTGTCGGTCAAATCTCTTATTTAGCTTTAATATGGATAATTACGTTATATATTATAAGTAAAAGGTTTACGAAGCTGTCTGAACATTTAACACAGTTAAAGTTTCAATTCCCTAAGACAAGAGTTAGAAGAAACACTCGAGAAACATATTGAAGTTTGGAATAAAATAAGTTATTGTGTTTATACATTACAATACAGGTGTGATGAGTGTTAGAGTATATGATTTAAATGCAAAATGATATATAAAAATTATTGATGATTATGTAGTACGTTTGTTACTTAATCAATTGTAATTTAAATTCAAGGTTTGTTTCAAAATCTTTTACAACTTCTACTCATATTTGTCAAGAAATAAATAAGAGATTTCTGTATTATTAGATAATCGATTTCGTGAAGAGATTTGGAAAAATTCCATTAGGAATATCAATAGGTGGCTTTTTCTATATTAAGAAACACTTCGTGATAAGGATGAGTAATATAATGATATTAGACATTTGGTATAAAATAATAATTTATTTTTATATTAAGGTAATAAGTGGAATGTATTCTTTCTTTTCTTCGTTGATTGAAGTCAGAAGCGTTTTGAGAAAAGAAATTAGATGAGCCCCAATTTTTAAGAATAACACTGCCCAATAGAATATATTAAATTATTATTTCTGTATTTTCTGTATTATAAACGTCATTCTGCTTGTTTCTAAAATGATTGAATTCTATAATGCTTAATATTAACCTTAAATTGCATAAATAAATAGATATAAATAATAAATGTATATAAAACTATATAATATAATATATAAAAAAAATTCAGCAACGAGTTGCTCAACTTTCCCGGAACATTTGGTGGCACCATCTGTTATCATACAAGTAGACCCCCCTATAACACTGTTGATAATTCCGTGTTATATGAATTCCATGTTGTACGAGTCACTTAGATTTTACAAATACGTGAGCAGTTCACAGCCCGGCACACGTATTTGTAAAATCTAAGTGACTCGTACAACATGGAATTCATATAACAAGGAATTATCAATAGTGTTATAGGGCGGTCTACTGTATTTTATTTTGTTTTTTTTAATTTTATATTTTTAACTATTATAAAATGGAAAAAAACTTAAATTTGAGGTTAGGGATGGGTTTTATTTTTAAAAAATTATAAATGCTAATAACAAGTAAAATCGTCATTAAGTCTGACCCTACTGGAAATACAAATGACCTTTATCTCCCCAGCTGTCGATCTGTAACTACAGTAGTAAACAAAGGTCCCTATAGGCTTCATGCCACCTACCTGTAACTACCAAAATTTAATAGCATCAATCCCTCTAATAAACAAATCTCTCTGCAAAATTTCAGAAATGTTCGTCAAAAACCACAGAAGTTATTTAGCTTAAAAGAGAATGAAGAAAATCGTGCCACACACAGACTATAACATCCATACATACAGAAATCACCTTCGAATTTTTTAGTATTTCTCAACGTTTCAAGGTCTGCGGAGTCTAAAAATGTAAAAAGATCTTGGAGGGTCATTTTTTTACCGATCGCCACACTTTTTCTCTGTTATATATCACAGGGAAAATAATACACAGATATATTACTGTGTTTTAGCGTCATTTGCAAAAATTACATGAGGTTATTCGAATATATCTATACTAGAAAAAATCTGATGGAGAAATCTTTCCGAAATACGATTCATTTTCGCGAACAAATTAGATTCGGATTACGAAATATATTTAAAGGCTTTTATATTATTATTTTTTAATCATTAACATATGATATACAGTCGTATCTCGTTGAGCTAAACCAACTGTTATAATACCTTTCCATCTATTTCATATTGTTCCTTCTGTTCTTCTAAAAGTGAGCTATTTAAGAGATCGAAAATGTTCGATATTTAAAATTATTTTTGCTGTTTTGGTATGTTTTTACTATTCCAAGTTTACTATTCCAAGTCTGGCTCTTCCATAAATGTCTCGATAACTTCGCCAGTCCCACAAGTGGCCGAATGGTTAGCACCACTGAATCAACTGGTCGTGGGTTTGAGCCTTATTAACGGCCTGGTCAAGTGCAGTTTGCTGGGGAAACGAATAATATGTAACTTTTTGTGAAAATATTTAACAATTTTATAAAATATTTTTACAATACCTGACAAATTACAATTAATTGTTAACTGATTGTTGTACAATTAAACAATTCAAATTAATTGTTTCTTAATGGTTAACTCTATATCCATCTCATCCTTTAATTAATTTAAAAAAAAACATTGAGTTAGATCAAGGGTTGTCAAACTTTTTTGATTGTCGAAGTTTTTTTATTTGTCATGATTTGTGTCCTACAAGTTTTTGAAACCTGACATCGACCCCCACAAAAAAGAATGCCATTATAAACAAAACAAAGTACTTACTATTTTAATACATTTTGCATTTTTTTCATTTATGTAAATCTTTATGTAAATTTAACTATGTAATTTAACATTATGTAAATTTTTGTAACTGACAATCAGCGAGATGGATAAGCTTGATCCTTAGCTGCCCCTTATCCTTAGCTTCATATTCAACCCACAATAATGTTATAAATCGATCCCTGGGGATCAATATCAACCACTTTGGCAACCCATGAGTTAGATGGACTTCAATGTCTTAAGACTGCTACAATCTAAAATATATATCCTCTTAATAACTTATACTTAATAGTATGTTTGATAGAGATTATTTGTTTTATTACAGTTACAGAGATCTTTCAGAAGTTCAGATTAAAAAAACCAGACACCAGCAATCCATAAGCATAAGTATATGGTGCATTAGTACATCATTATTTAATTAAACCCCTTAAGCCCATAACCCACGATATCTCAGGCTGCATGTGCAAATGCGCAGTCCATATCCCAAGATATCTCAGGCATGGACTTTAAGGGGCCATTAAAAAAAGCCTTGACTTATAACTTTTCTGAAAATGTATGGATCAGCATATATACATCGTTATCTATGATCTGTGCACATTTCATAAATTATTTTTCCCGCAAAAATATTTTATGACGCTTTACTAATTAGGTAATTAATCGTGCTATTGTTTTTTAATCAAANCACCACTGAATCAACTGGTCGTGGGTTTGAGCCTTATTAACGGCCTGGTCAAGTGCAGTTTGCTGGGGAAACGAATAATATGTAACTTTTTGTGAAAATATTTAACAATTTTATAAAATATTTTTACTGTAATAATTATTAATTATATAATGTTTAATGGAGCTGAATACGAGATTGCATTGCAATTGCAAACAAAAAAAATATATGAATTTATTGATTTATACAAATTATTTTAAAGAAAAATATAATGGACAAAAATATTGAATTAAATTTAGAAAATTTTCAAATATAATTATTAATGAAAACTCGATAATTACAATCATAAAAGAAAAATTATTATATTTTTATAACAGATGTTTTATATTTTAAAATAGTATTGAAGAAATATATATATATAGTTTATGAATTTCTTATAACATTTTTATTGCAGTTATCATTTACGCGTGGTCATAGCAAAGAAACTGCAAATTTTATGTTTCAAAAAATAATATTTTTCAACGACAATTCAATAATTTCTACTTGTTATAGTAGAATTGATTATCTTAATGTACTTCGTTGCTGACAAAAAAATTAAAATGATAAAATATTCTTATATACTGTACATTAGAGCCGGCTCATCGAAAAATGATCCCAGTCCTAATCCTTCGATTGACGTATACTTTCGTAATATATATACATTTATAAATTAAAAGTAGCTATTATCTTGATCTAGTCGCTAAATGAGATTACAAAAGTAGATGTATCTTCAAAATAAGAATAAAATTAAAATGCTAAATAATTAAAATAAAAAAAAAAATATCCTTATACAGTCGATCGCCAATAACGGCCACCTCCTAAAAACGGCCATGTTTAAACGGCTTCGTTTTTTCGGTAACGTTTCTTTTTGAAATGCATACAAAATAACCTCTAAACAATGGCCAATTTTAAATGTTCCTTCAGTGTTTGTTGTTCAGAGGTTTTATTGTATTTCATAAAGCATTAATTAAATTTAAATCGTTTCCAATGCATTAAGAAATACTTATTGGTCCCTTAAATTAAGGCTGTAGCCTGGGATCACTATCTTCAATGTATCTCTATATACAGTTTTCCCGTAGCCAGTCCATCACCAAGTCCAATATATTTTATATTTAGAAACCGGCTCTGTTCCTTTTTTATTAATCAAGTGTTATATAAACATTATTTTATATAACAATTGATTAAATTCTGTAATCTAAATTAAAAGAGCATCCAAAATTTTTCTTGTTCTTTCAAGTAATCTTCCTGTTGCAATAGTCTCTGAACACAAAGGGAGTTATCAAACGATCCACATTGACCACCATATTCGACTGGAAGAATTCTAGCCTCAACAGCAGAATGAAGCGATTCTAGAGAATGGTGAAAAGATATCTGCAAGTAAATGAAATGTAAATAAATAAAATACTGTTGAGTATAATATCCAAAATATTTATAGATATATTTAGCCTACTCTTTGCTTAAATTTTGTAGGTAAAAAGGGCCAAAATGCCGCAACTACAATATCAACCAATCTAGATGTATTTATGACATGGATTTCTTTATAACGAACCGGAAATGAATCCTGTCAATAAAAATAAAATCAGTTTGGTTTATTTAATAAAACTATTTCAGACTTATTAAAAATTTATTATTTATTTAAAATTAAACAATTATCATTTATAACCTTCAAATATAAAATTATTAGTCGATTGTAGCGTGCATAACCAAAAGGTTACAATCAGCCTTGATGAAAGACAATTCAGACTAATTATTATTCAATGATCTAAAATTATAATTATTTATCACATTTGTGCATAGTCTGTATATAATTAAATATAAAACGTAAAATAAATATATTTAATTCAGTTGTAACACCATATTTCCTCGATTTTAAGATGCATAATGAGTTTGGAATCGAATTTTAAGATTTAATTTTATTTTTTTAAATGAAAGAATTTTAAACAAAATAAAAAAACTTTAACAAAATTTAAGTAATACCACAACAAGTTAGAAAAAATAATACAAATGCCATTAAGCTGAAAATGTCCGGCTATTTTATTTCCATGCTCTTCAAGTAGAAGAACATGGAACAATCTTTCATTGTAGTATTGCATCATAATGTTGTCATTTCAAACGTTAAAATAGTTTAAACGATGTTAACGAGCCAGCAAACTCATTTACAGTATAGCCGAAAGCGTCTATTATTGGTGCATAATGCACCACGTATTCTGCTTTGTTGATTTTTGTTGTTTTCGACTGTGAGACACCATATGCAAGAAGCCATAAATTTTAAGACGCATCTTTATTTCAGACAAGAAAAAGTGGATAAAAAGTGCATTTTAGAATCGAGGAAATACGATATTTGTGTCAGAAAAACAAGACATTTCATATAAGAACCGTGTCAAACATGAGGTTTGACTTAATTGTAGAAAGACCTCAAAGGTTAGATATTCATGTTGAGTAAAAAGTATTTGATATGTGAGACATTTTGAGTGACAGAAATGTGACACGTTCCATTTACGAGTAAATTTCTTTTCATTTAACTTTTATCTTGTACAGTATTTATTAAATATGAAAATCTAATAATTATTTTTACCTACCAGAAATACATTAATTATGGTAAACACCATTCTAGGTGTTAGTTGCAACATGTGACGAGCCGTTAGACCTTTAGCATCTAAAATCAATATAAATCCATTGATTTGAACAATTTCTTCTCTGATGACTTCTTCGAGAAACATATGAGCTATACGTATAATTTCAACTAAAGATACTTTGGAGACATCCCATGCACCTGCAAAAATTAAATATATTTAAATAATACTGTATCCGTTCGATAAATATAATTTTATATTACTAACTTGCTCTTCCTATGGCAATATGTCTTCCACGAGAGTCTACTTCCGACGTATACATTAAAAAATTATCCTTTAACGCTTCCAGAGAGGAGGAGGGAGAGAAATTCTTAAATACTTCTGGATATTTTTTCTTAGTAGAATAATAGTTTTTGAGCATCTTAAAAGATCTCTCTTGATCAAATTTTCGAGCTCGGAGAAAACGGAGTAAGAATTCATCATCAGTTCGTGATTTTAATTTCTTATCATCTGTTAAAATAAACTAATTTTAATTTATTTTAATATATATTTATAAATACGACACATTAATATTAATATATATTTCATGCATAAAACGAAATTAAAATATTTTATTTATAAGTAAGCATGAAAGTATTTCTTTTATTCGAAAGTTAAAAGAAAGGAAAATATATTCCGTCACAGCATAAATTATTTATTTATCGATTTTAAATTTTAAAAAATTCTTGGTTCTACTCTACTTAACCACATCATCGTTAAGACATCGATTTTGTTATCAAAATATTCTAGCAATAAAACTTTTTTCAAACTAAACTTTCCTGGAAAATCTGTGAAGTAGATTCGCGCAATCATTTATTTTAATATTTTTCAAAAATTGTAAATTAAGATTAATATATTTGATATAGTACTATCTTTATAAATAATTTCTTTTTTATAAATTTGTTAAATTTATCAAATCAAAGTTTAATTCGTGTATCAGTTAATTTTATAACATATTTTTTATATGATAATTCTAAATATAAATAGAATTCGAGTTATTTTTCCTATAAGGAACTCCTTCAGAAACATTTTTTTTATATTTATTTAAGCACAGTAATTGCACTTATTTAAATTATGCGCTAATCTAGTTTACAATCTAATCTATATAAAAATATTGATGGAAGATAAGAATTACATATGATTTTTCACCTATTTAAAGAAAATCCTATATTTTTGTATGTTATATTTTAAATCCAAAACTTAACATTTTATATATTTTTTTAATTATAATTGATTTTTAATGTAATTATCAGTTAAGTAAATCTTGGATGGTTTTCAAATAAAAATAAAATTGAAAAAAAAAATGTACACTGTTATTTGGAACAAACAATAAAGAAGAAATTAGACTTTCTAAAGTATGTCAAGCAATCAAAAAATTAATTTAAGGAAATTAAATTTAATTTCTATAACTTCTTTATAAATTATAATCATTTTTAAATCATTTCATTTTTCGTTTGGGACTTTATAAAAAACATTAAAAAAAAGAAGTCTATTTATAAATGCTGCTTGAAATCTACACTCGTAAAACTTGATGTTATGATTTATTATATAAATTTTATCTTTCAAAATAAAAATAACTCTGTCTAATGTTCAAGTAGATTAAAATAAATAAATAAAAATGATATGAACTGTAGTTCATATCATTTTTATTTATTTATTTTAATCTACTTGAACATTTCTGTCACAATTCTAGAATAAAAGAATAAGAAAAATTTAACTTTTCAGAAAAATAATTAATAAACCTTATTTATAGAAACAAGATTATATCTTTACAAAAGATTAATTAAAAATATTAAACAATAAAAATATCTATCAAATACGTAAAACTAATTAACTGCGTTAAAAAGTTGTTTTGTAAAAAAGTAAATTGTGTTTGTTTTTTTGTAATCAAAATCAATATTTGAAAAAATTAATTTGTATTAAGGAAAATCTTAAATACCAAATAACAAGCTTGTTTTTATTTTAAAAATTTTAATTATAAAAATAACTAAATTATCAATAAATGTTTAATTAAATAGTCTATAGAATATCTAAGTTCGTAAAAATCATAATTAAAGCTACAATCCATCAAATATGTAGAGTTTTACGTAAATTTAGTCAATTTGTATGAATATTAATCTTGTATATTTTCTATTTTCACGTTATTAATAATTTAAACTTTTTTTTCTATTGTTGGATATTCATTAATGTAAAAAAAAACATTGTATTCTCTCTATAGTTTTCAAATAGATAATTATTAAATCCAATTTAAATTGTTATTTTATTAATTTACATTTTATAACTAAATTGATGGTATTTTTAAAGTTAATTTCTTTTTAATAATTTACACTTTCAATGTAAACTTAAAACAAATATATTATATCTGATACAAGAGAATATGTATATATTAATATTACAAAAAAAATAAAATTTAAATCCAATTTTATTTTATATAAGAAAATTAATCTCCATTTAGTACTTTTATTAAATTTAACCTTAAAGTAACATTTATTTAAATCGTTTCGCTAAATATAAATGTTCAAGTTATTTGAGCAACTTCCTTATTGTTTCTGTATATTTAGAAGAAGAAAAAAAACCAGCATATGAATTTTTATTTATATAATATATTAATTTATCTATATGCATGGAAAATCAGAGAGATGCTTTTACTATTATCTCAATGCAAAAAAAATTTTTTTTATTATCAATAAACCTATTTTAGACTCGAATTTATAACAAGAAAAATAAATTTACGACTATTATTCTGTATTAAACATTTGAGTGCTTTGAAAATATAGCTTTTTATAATATAAATCAATAAATCAAATAACTAGTATTTAAAATTTAAAATTTTTATTATAGCAAAATGTTTTTATATAACTTAAATTTTAAAAAGTATACTTTAAAAATAACTCCGACGAAAAGTTGATGATTAGATTATTATTAAAATAACAAATTATTTAATTAATTCATAAAAATATTTATTTTTTAACTAGAATATAAAAATGTAACATTAAAAAATGCGATTTTAAAATTTAATTTTACATTACTTAGCTTATATAAACTTAATAACTTTTACTTAACTGAGCACTTTTTCTCTTAGTAAATCTATATCTTTTTTAGTCCATGCAGGTTCTTTTAAAAACTCTAATATATTCTCCCTTTTATGCCTGAAATCAATGGCCTCAGGAGGCATTGTAAATGTTAAATCCTTATGAAGTTCTATCTAATCTATCAAAAAAATAATGATAATAATATATTAAAAATTATAACATTCAACAAGCATTAACATTATTATTATTATTAATTGATTTAAAAAAACACTTATTAATAGTTAACATCGAAAATTGATTTTCCATAACAGCATCCAGATAAATATATTCAGTTGAATGAAAATCAACGCACCGGTGTGTAATATTAATCAAGTTCTGCACGTGGTATGGTAGTGAAAAAATAAAAATTCATTACAACATCACAGCATAAAGATATATTGAAGAACAATTTCATCACAAATGTTACAAATCAGAGAATTTGCAAACTAGCCTTACTGATCAACGTAATAGATGACTTTACAGATTACTAATATGCAACATTTGTGATGAAACAGTTCTTCAATGTTGTATCTTTGTGTAATTAATTTTTTAAATATTTTTTTACTGCCATTCCACATTCAAAATTTGATAAATATTACACGCCAGCTTCAAGGTACTGTCGATTTGTTTGAAACAGTGTATTTTTTACATCTATCAAAATTTGCGAGCAAACATTTGGCATTTATCAATTCTCTGATTTTAATTAAAACTTTGATAAACTGTTTAGCTCAAACATTATACAGAAATAAATCTAATTTATTTAAAGTTTGGTAATACACTTCCATTATAAATTATATTATCTCTTCTGTATTTCGAATAATGAAAAGACAATTAAAAAATAATAAAACAGATTTTTATTAATCTGAATTTATATTAATTAGTATATTTTTAATTAATATAATTGCAAACGTATTAGACTTTTATTGATATTTAGAAGCAAACTGTATTGAAATGTCAGTAATAAAACTTTTTATCAAAATTGCATCTTCGAACTTAAATGCTAAGATGTAATTACTCAAAATATAATTTTTGAATTATAAAAAATATTTTTTAAATTTTATCTACCGCAAGAAAATCGCGACATTAATCTTTTTACCATAAATGTCATTGTCCTTAACTTTCATTTAAAACATCGTTAATTGCTCTTTTATCTTTTTTTTTTTTTTTTTTGGAAATCAAAACGCTTAATTCTCTAGTTTGTATGTTAAATACAGTCGACCCCGCTATAATACTGTTGATTACAAATACATGAGCCGTTCATAGCCCGGCACACGTATTTGTAAAATCTAAGTGACTCGTACAACATGGAATTCATATAAAACGGAATTATCAACAGTTTTATAGGGGGTCGACTTGTACATTTATATATTCTATTCCGAACTCGTGATTCGTTAGAAAATGTTTATTCTGCACACATAAGGGTCATAACTTTGAATTGATACTAGTGAGGAGGAAATGGCTTGAAATATATCTTACAGAATACTTTCAACGAATGTAAGGAACATATTCCACGAACAGAAACAGAACAAAAAAGAGACAATTCCACTGGTGAGCGTTAATAAAGACAATAATAACCGAATACTTCGATAAATTTTATTTAAAAAATCAATGTATCTGAGAGATGGTACAAAACATTTAATAAAATACACGAAAGGATCTCTAATTGAAAGATTTTAATAATTTGATAAAATTAGTTCTTTGTTTATTAAGACCTACAACTTCTGTAGAAAAAAATCTATCCACTCCTGAATTCCCTATGGTCAAAAGATAGTCGAAATTAAATTATTGAAGCCAAAAAAACGATGCTAATTATAAAGCAAAACTGCAGCTTGCAATGCAATAAGTTTTATTATAAAATTGCGAGTGACCAGAACTTAACATAACTGTAAACAAAATAAGTTCATCGGAAAAATATCATTTTATTTACTTTAAAATTTTATGCATTGAATTTTTAACGGAATTGAAATCTATAGAAGAGAATTTAATAAGTTAACATTTTATAAGTTAAATTTTCAACAACTAAATATGAAATTTCAAGATTTTTTTATGTAATTCTTTTCAAGTAAAATCAAAAGAAAACGAAAACTAAATAAAATACGAATTTTGCAATTTTGTGAATATCAATTTTAGATATTCAATAAAATTATAATTTTTGAAAATAATTTTTTTTTAAATTAAAGATGCACATTCAAAAATTTACAAAATCATGTACGATAGAGGCTTTGAGGAATTCTGCTTCGACTGAGAACCTCAAAAACTTTTTCATATGTCAGCATATAAAGTAAATTATATATTTAACTTACCTATATTAATTCAATAAACATTTATTTAATGATTGAATAGCATAAAGAAAAATATATAAATTATGTTAATAATTATTCTTAAAATGTTTACATTAAAATATACAGTATTTATTTGCATTGTTTTGCAGTGAAACTAAAACCACTATACAGGATGAACCAAAAGTAGGTGGACAGTAGGTGAAATAGGGTTTGTGTTAGGGTTACACTATAATAGTGGTATATATTTAACTTGGTTATGGTTATGGTTGAAAAATTACATCAGAAATGCATTTCATATAAATAAAATTAATAAGCAAAATAATATACAAAAGTTAGTTATAAATCTGTTAATAGAGTACAACTAAAAGCTACCAAATGTTATTTCAAATCAAATGCTAACGTAAGCCTTTAACAGATTTTTAATTTATCTTAAATTATTCTGTATAGATATTTGTATTATACAATGAAAAGTTGTATATTTTTAATAAGTTTAATATACTGTTATTTATTTTTCATATCGTTATAAATTTTTATCCTAATTTTAACAACGACAACAGTTTCCTAAATTATATACACGTACTGTACATTGCATGTTTTGACGTATTTAAGTTTTTCTTTGCAAAACGTGAAAAATTAAATATAGGGAGAAGAGGGTTAACTGAGTACAATTTTTTCAATGTTTTTTAAATAAATTCCATGATATGGAAACTTTTATTTTCTTTATGCTATGTTACAGGCTTACATATAGTAAATGAGAAAAAACAGTTTTGTCTGCATATACATAAAATAAAGTGTGTAAAAAATATTATTGTTAGACCAAGTTAACCCCCATCTTGAGGTTAACTGGAACATCCGATGGGGCTAACTGGACACATATGAAATGATGTGTTAAATGACACCATGAACAGAAAAAATCAAAAGAAAATGCATAACTTCTAGCAAAACGACCACGTTTACCCTGGTAAAGTGGAAAAAACAACTTTAAAACAATTTCAAGTTTGTTTACTTCTGCCTCTTTTTCATCTGAAAATTGAAATTTGTTTATTCCTCTTCAATCATTTGACATTGAAATCCTTGTCGAAATGCGAGTCACTATTTTTGCGAAAAATGTCTGTGTTTTTCGTAGTTTTTCCAGAAACCTTTGTCAGAATATAGTCATCCATATTATATTCTGATTATATGAGGGCGGCCGTATTACATGTGTGACTTGAGCTTTCTAGAGGGAATCAATGAGACTGAACAGGTGAGGAAAATTTAAATATGAAAACTAATAAAAAAAACAATGGGTCAGTTAACCCCTTACAGTATATTAGTCTCAAAAATTAAGTAATGATCATGAAAACTACGAATTAAAACATTTTTTATCGGTTTTAGTAGCATTTACAAGTTTAATTTATCACAGCTTACCATAATAAAGCTTAAAAGAAACAATTCCGTGAATATTTAGTAAGTCATGTAAATTACATAATTAATATTCAAAAATAGCATGTAAATATTCAGTCATTTTCAACAGGGTTTGTGATCGCTTCAAACAGAATAACAATTTGTACACCTTTACTTATAGCATAACAAACTGAATAACAATTTGTTATGCTATAAGTAAAGGTGTGAATAGAAGTTAGAGAAATTAATTGCTATTCTCTCAAAACAGCAGATCTGAGCTCCTCGAAGTTGTAGGAAAATGTATTGAAACCGACAATTTGCTCTCTATAATGATGTCCTAAACATATTTAATGGAATTTAAGAGAGATGATCTGATCGGTCAATCCAAACGGATTATAGTTTCACTTTGAGATATTTGTGTTTTAAGATAGATGTTAGGAACGGTTATCATTCTTTTTTTAACATGGCATTATGATCCATTCTTTTGAGAAATAAACAAACGTGAATTTTAAGGTTCTATTGATAATTGCTATACTTGACACATGTTAAGAATATCTCCTCAGCAGGACCGTCTCGAATAATTTCGGCGACTGAAGAAGCAAGCCTAAGAACAAATCTAATATATTTATATTTCTATAAATGTTATAATGTATTTTTAGTATCCCTTCCAATTTGGTGCAAGAAGTAGTTGCCTTTTCGGCTCATCTATCGGAACGGCCCTACTCCTCAGAAGATTTGGTCATTCTGGAGATGCAGGAATCACCTGGCAAACTGTCTCTTTTAAGGTGTTTGTGAGATGGTATCTCCAGACTGTCTCCAAGTTAATAGGCTATTCATTGAAGATTAAATCAGTGATGATCATAGTAGCCTTTGAATCAAATTAAGTTGTATTCGACACCAACTCGTGGAAGCTTCTTTGAAAGAATGTCAAAAAGTCATAAATAACTGGTCATTTTGAATAAAGCTAACTTCATAAACACCTTCCAAACACTGAGATATAACTCTTTCTGTGGATGTGGCAAGTCTAAAGCAAGCTGCTATGTTATAAGCTATATGCTCGATGACATATTATGTTTAGGAATCACAAGTTGTCATCAATGTGGACTTCGAACGGACAGGAAAACAGGCCGAGGTGAAGATGTTTTTGGCTTGTTTGATAACACTATCCAACAAAACTTTTACCTCCGGGGGGAATAAAGATGGTTTCTTATTAATTCCGACGCTCACATTTCGAAAATCATTAAGAAAACCTCATATCACGTTACAGTTTTCAGATATTGATGCCTTTAGCATATCACATATCTATGCATTTAACAATGTAAATTATATAAATGATGTAATACCGGAAATGTTAGAAATCACTATCACAAAGAACTTACTAAAGTAACCTCAAATAAAATAAATCGTCATTTACACTCGACAAATAAAATTTATTTCCAGAAGTTAATAAAAACATAGCAAGATCAGACAGACTACAGTAATTGCTGCTATTTGAAACGTCAGGTATGGTTAATACAGTGAGTCAAAATAAGAATCAACCTTCACTGATTTGTTAACGGCCGAAAATTAACAAATGTTGCGTCTTTTAATTTGTTCTTTTTCATCCTACTTTCGTTTTCACTGTGTTATAAAACTTGGATGAACATAAATATTCACGTAACATAGAACTAGAAAACTACTGCTGGTTCCTCAAGAGAGAGTCCAAGCGACACACAAACTGAAATCAACATCCAAACAGCATTTTTAAAGATAAGTTTATATATGCTTTTAAAACGTTTATATGTGTTGAATGTCTAAGATTCTTAGCAGTGTGCAATGTCACTGTGTAGAGTTATTACAGATCAACTTGTAGAACATCTGCTCTTGGTGCAAGGCTTTTAATAAATACCCTGTGAGATAAAAATAGAGTTTACATTCCACATAAAAATGCGATTTTCATTCTGATATAGTTGCCAATGTTCAAAACAGTGTAAATAAAGAAAAAAAACACGTTGGAATGATTTTCACTAGTACAATACATGTGCTATATCCATATGCTATTTCATATGCATATGTACTGTATATCATTACATAAAAATGTGTCTATATGTTTACATTCTTGCGTGATAGAAAAATCTATAGTGTGCTGTTTAATATCAGGGAGATTTTTCCTACGGCCTATCACCTATTTTAATTCCGGATGTATAAAAGAAATTTTTTGTTGGATAGTGTAATAATTCAAAGGTGGCTTACGGTTAGCATTTAATCATCGAACAGGTTTTGTTCTGTCTGGAACCTCCTTATTAGTTTTAATCTCGTTTCTTCACACGGGGGATTACTTCAAGTATTTCCTCAAAACTCGCCATCTCGGATTTTGTACAAGACTTTAAATGAGACCTTACACGTGAGATGATCTTCAACCCTGAACCGGTTTGCATGCAGAACGGTAGTTTATTTAAATTTGCATTTAGTGTTGGATATTACATAAGATATCTAGTTTTAGCACATTTCATTTGTTTATTAGAACTGAAAATCAACGAATATAAAAATAGATATAACTTTCGCGAGCCAGTATATTTAATTTCTGATTATAAGTTTTATTTACAGCATAAGAATTCCTCCGACTACGAAGCTAAGGTTATCCTTAATCTTTTTTCGCTCATTGCTATTAACAATTTTAATTTTCAATTAGCTTAATTTAATATTAAACTTATTATAAAAATAATTAGAATTCTACGCCAATATCGCACTGTAGGAATTACAAAAATGTATTTGTTCCCTATGGATTTAATAATTATTAATTGTTATTTGAATAATAATGATGACTTTCATACCATATAGGCCTATAAAAATAGGTCTATATAGTCATAAAAAAAAGGAAAAAGTTTAATTATTATGCCTTTTTGTCGTTTTTAACTATTTATAATTTATTTTGTATACTAGTACTTTCTATATATTAACAGGACTTATTTTTGAACTGTATGACTAAATATCTGCATCCATAATTTTCCAGTATAATAACTCCTGTTAATATATAGAAAGTACTAGTATACAAAATAAATTATAAAAGGAAAAAGTTATTCCTCACAGTAACGATTATTAACTTGAATGTAATTGAAAAAATTATTTGTGGAATGTAATAATTTAAAAATAAGTAAACATATAAAATGCAAAAATTTAATTTTTAGGGTAAGGATGGGTTTTATAAAAAAAAAAAATGTTAATGCTAGTAACGAGTAAAATCGTCCGACCCTTTTCGAGATACACACGCTTCCATTATCTCCCACCCCTCGACCTTTAACCACCAAGATCTAATAGCATAAAGTTCCCCAATAAATAAACTCCCTGCAAAATTTCAGAAAATTTCGACAAAAGCACACGAGTTATTAAGCTTCGAAGAAGGTGAATAAAATCATTCCCCTCCCACACACACAAACATACATATATACGGAAAAACCACCGAATTTTTTTTGCATTTCTCAACGTTTCAAAATCCCGAGTCCAAAAATATAAAAATCTGGGAGGGATCATTTTTTTGACCGATCGTCATGTTATACTGTATATAACAGAGTCGGAAAAGTAAAAAGGAATAAGCAACGAGAAAAAAGAAAAGTCCTTTTATGTCTTCTTGATGCTTGTCTCTTTTTTTTTACAAGTAGAATGCATCAGAAAATAAATAAATAGACCTATCGTTTTTACACTTTTCTGATGTTGCTTTAAAGTCTGCAACCGAATTTATCGCCTCATTTCAAAATAAATAATTATAAGTAAAATATCGATAATACGGTATAGGTTTATAAAAAACATAAATTAATATCAGTCTTATATATACATTTATTAATGTAATAAATACATAAAGTTTGTATTAAGAAAACAAGAAAACAATATAGGCTATATATGTTTATTTATCTGATTATAATTACTCTTGATAAAAAGTACTACTACTTTTTCATCAAAAGTTCAATATCAATATGAAAACTTTAAAAACTAAACTGTTTATATCAACTAGCCTCGTGTATTATATCGTTAAATTGTATCGAAAAAGAGTTTCAAAATATTTTTGATTAATAAGCCAATAATGTAACATAAAATTCAGCTTTTTATTCATTAAAAATCAATAAGATCGATATATAAATAATGATTATATCTACACGATCAATTGTTGCAGAAATCAACTTAAATATTCTATAGATATATAGTTTAAATGTAGATAATTGTATATCTTTCGACCTCTTATTCATAGCATGGTTTGAAATTTGTAACTAAATAAACTTTCTAAATGATAATATAATAAATCTAACTATTTTAATATAAGTGTGTGCTTATAAAATTAATAAATAGATTCAAATCTGGAAATTATAAAGTTAATATTTACAAGATATAATAGCTTTTGTAAAGGCGAGATTAAATTAGTGATACGAAATCTTATATCAATATAAAATACTTTTAATTAAGTCGTTGAATTTATTAGTCTTTTGTAGTACTATATTATACAATGTATATGTTATATTTTTCAGAATTATCCTCTTCACTGTATACAAAAACTTCACTTATATTTATTCAAGCGCTTACATTTTACTAAAATACTTTCTAAACAATATTTTCACATAACTTCCTTTAAATCTAAATTTGATAAAGGAAAGTGGAAACATCGCTAAAACACTTTCTCTAAATTCTTTTAGGTCAGCTATTCCTGACAGAAATTGGGTCAAACACGTTAATAATATCTGTATATCAGGTAGAAACAATAGAATATATAACTAATAAAAATTATTACTTAAGTTTTGTTTAATATTTAACGTTATTATTTGTTTATAATTTTAATACAGACTGATTAAATATATTTAATAACTTAAATAATTTTTAAATTATTAACTATCGTTAAGAAGTTGATAGAAATTTGTATTATACAGATAAAGTATACATCAAATTTTTATAAATAAAGCTTGATTAATTGTAATATTAATTACAAAATATATCGCTTGAATTATTTGTTGTAAATACGAATAGCAAAAAGCAAACTTTCTTACCTGATGTGTTTCAGAATGAAACCAAGTTACTCAATGCAGTACTGTGTATCTGTCACTTCGTAACGTCCAATCAAAGCCGGAGACTGGAAATGACGTAACTGAAGACTTACCCAAAACTAAGCTCGAATTGTCCTATATCATTTAGATATCTGAATTAAAAGGAAGTTGACCCGTTTGTGATAAACAGGAATTACAAGTTAGAATTTAAGTTACTTAGAAAAAAAAACTGTAATAAATATACACACTTTTTTCAATTTTTAATGAGTTTAATTCTTTTTACTATCACACTATAACAACTTTCCCCAATTTTTATTATGTAATGAGTCGTCACTGCTCTATATTTTCTTAAATTTGTTTTTTTTATGTTTTAAGAGGAATAAATATGTTAATTAATACTATATTTTTTTGATTTTATGTAATTAAATTAATATATACTTTGTTTGCCTTCGATAATTCTAACGTTAGTTTTACTGTCGGTTCAATGACCTCTAAATAACTCGTTATGCGGCTTTCTTATCGATCCTCCGAAGACATTCTTCATTTTATTATTGCTATTACTATTAAATAGAATTATTTTCATTTAAAACTTGAAAACCCATCATTTGTTCCGTTTGAATGACGTTTTAAAAGCGGAATTTTAAATTTTAATTTTATATAATTAATTTAAAAATTATGTATATATTTTTTTCTATTCGATAATTATGATAGTTGAATATTGTAGAAAGTAAAGTAATAAATTTAAAATTAAGCAATGAAGAGTTTATTTAAATGTGAATGAATGAAGCACAGAAATTTCCTCGAACTACTGGAAAAGCTAGAGATTGAATATAAATGTAGGATAATTTGAAAGAATAAATACTAAAATGACACCTTTTTAAAGTGGAAAGTAACAAGGTAAAAGCTACTTTTTATGTTTCGGGAATGAGATGAAATTAAAATATTTTGAAAAGGGAAAGATGAATAATGCTTATCTCAAATGTTTTCATTTTTATTTTCATAAAATAAGTTTATTATTATTATTATTTTTGTCCTGTAGACACAAGAGGGACCATTTTTTTTAAATCAACTCCAAACCCCAAACGATAAACCCAGACATTGTTGGTCTGGGGTTAACCCCAGACCTCAATGTCTGGGTTTATCTGCCGGACCCCAGACCTTCGGCCAGACAATGGGGCAGCCGGGGTGATGAGGGACGGGGTCAAACAAATCCAGAAAAGACCACATTCGAATTCGTTTCCGGATCCCCAGAGCAGTAAGCTGACACCTTAACCGCTCAGCTAACCGGCGTCTCATAAGTTATATGTTTGACAACGGCGTTTGGAACGTCGAGCGTTCCATTGACTTTTCAAACGCCATTGTCAGACTTCTGTGCTTACAGGAAGGCGGCGCTGAACGTCCGACGTTTACGTTTTCGCAATGAAAACGTCGGCCGCAACCTCTCTAATCTTAAAATAATAATTTTGTGATATTAAGTCCTATATTATTAAATGAAACTTGTTAAATACGATTTCATATAAAATGATTTTGTAAAAACACGATTATTACAAATAATGTTGCCAGGAAAAACACCACAATAATCGAAAATAACATATGGGAAATAGGAAACTGTTGCCAAGAATTTTCCAAAACTGTGATTAAAACTTTAAATATTTAATATGACGCTAGATATTTATTTATGTGAATACTTTCAGAGCAGGAGGTAATAAATTGAATCCAGTTTTAGTTTTAAAACTGTATTATTAAACAAAAATGTGAGTTATTTTTTCGGAAAAATAATGTAAGAGACATTTTGATTCAAAAATTTCTTGTTACGTGACTCGATAACAGTGAAAGCATTTTTTATTTCTCGGCACACATTCATTGAACATTCAACGTTAGGATCGCCATTCACTATTTTTTTATTTAAGAGATTCGTGGCCACGAATTATTTCATCGAATTCTTATAATGTGAATTCCTTTTTTGCTATCTTCATTTCATCATCTCCAATGCTATCGTCTTAAGCTTTGTGCGCTCGTTCTACATCCAAATTGATAAGTTCTTCATCAGTAAGGTCATTATCGTGAAACTAGAGTAATTCCTGAACATCTTCGTTGTCTATTTTAATTAATCCTATATCCAATATGAGTTTCGTAATTTCTTCTTCGGTATCGTTAATTTTAACTTACCAATTTTGTCTTGTTCAAAAAAATTCTGGAATAATTTAAGATATTAATGCTCTTATTTCACTGATTTGTTCCCTTTCAGATTAAATCAAAATTAGTTTGAACAAACAATGCCCTTAGAGTAGAATCTTTAGAAATCATTTGCGCATTCGGGAACAAGTTTTTGCCTAAATTCTCTTCAAGCTTTATAGATGTTTTCAAGGGCATTTTTCGTGCTAAATTTTTTCAAAATTCTGTCAAAGATTCTTCTCTTGTTTTTCAATTGCCTAGCTAACAGTCTTACGTAGATAATACGTTTCAAATGTTGAAATCCTGCAGGCTACTCCAGCCTGTGAACCAGAGTAGAGTATACAACGATGGTAGACAACGACTTAAACGTTTTGTCACAAAACATTGAGTTTTATTAGGTGACGAAAAGCATTATATACAATTAACAAAATTATAAATTCACGATTTATATTGCAAAATGAATTGCACGCTTTTTGCTGTTGCCTGTTTAAATTTACTCGATAAGGAAGATTTGATCAAAGTAATTCAAAACGTACTGGACAGTCGCCCAATACATTTTAAAAAGCTGTTGATGAAGAAATGTTACAGGCAGAAATCGCAAAATGTCATTGAATCGATAGATTAAAGTATCGCAAAACAGCATTGTTGAAACCCTTGATAGTGGAATGGTCGCAAAAATTTATTTTTGGGGTGTGCAGGCATTAAGTGAAAAAAAAACAAATTGGATTGAAATATCAATATGTATCGCACTGTGAAAGCATTAAAAACACACTTTTAACGATAAAATAAAAGTTTAAAAACTCAACATTTCATATTTTGAGCTAAAAACTGCTAAATTAAAACTTTCATTTGGCGCAAAAAATAGTAATAACTAGAATTCTTGACGCAACAGTCGGGATTTTGGTATCAAATTAGTAAATGTAAACCGCGATTTTCCCTCTATATTAAAATAGTACTGTACTAGAATTTTTGAAATAAAATTTTCGCTAGAAACAGTTTATGTTTTCATCTGTTTTTAACTTGATTAATGTGTAGGAAGTGATTATATTTATTTCAACAAGCGTAACAGCTCGTAAGATTCAATTCATAATGTATTTATTGTATATATTTTTCTTATTGGTATATTCAAAGGTCAATATTTTGAAAGATCTTAACCGATATCAATAGTCATAAGATAAACTTTCATCCAGCTTTTTTTACAAATAATTTTATCAAAAAGAATGTAATAAATCTTTGAAAACAAAAACGTAATGATTTTTTGTTTTTATTTTATTTTACGTAATATTCATTTATATTCTTATAGTTTCAATAAACAACTGAAAAAGAGGAAAATCCCTAAATGCATATTGTCAAAGATATTCTAATTTGAATAAAATATTTTAAAATAAAAACTTGATTAAAAGTTGAATAAAACTGATACTATAAATAATTTTAGAATAGTCGACCAAAGTATTTAATGAATACTAAATAAATATTTTAAAATAATTTACGTAAATATTGCTTTTAAAGTAGTATATGTACTGTATATAAGATGACTTTTTAGTATCTTGAACACAATACTGCATTGTGATTACAAATGTTATATTTCTTAATTCAGAATAATATGTCAAATTATATAGTTCTCGTTTCTTTTTAAATTAATATATTTAACCAAAATAAGGTTAATACGTAATTTCAGTATTATATTTGACATTATTTTTTTTATATCTAAAATATTTTTACATGAAAATATCCTGCTTATTACGATATTGATTATGGTACAGATAAAAAAAATAAGACTTGATTAGAGATAATCAAGAATTTCATTGATTATTTAATATCATTTCATAGATTTATAACAAAGATGAACTTTTAAAGAGAGACAAAAATTTCCATTGTAACTCAAAAACCATAATGAAAACTTTTAACTCTATTACAAATCCCTGTCATGTTTATATATAACTAATATTAATTTGCTGTATTTAGTAAAAATTTTATTTAAATCTTCTCTTTATCAAAAAATAATATATAAAAAATAATAAATCTAAATTAAAAATATGATAAGAATAAAAAAATTTTCAATAAAAATTTTATCATTCACGAATTTTTAGAGTTTTTTATTGTAGCAGAAGAAATAAACTGCTGCATGCAAGAAATATGTTATATGTTAACATCATAAGTAAANTTGGACATGTCCTAACCACTTTTATTTCTCTTTTTTTAAAAAAAAAAATATTTTTATTTAAAGTGAACAGAAAAGAATAATTTAATGAAAGATAATAATGGTAATTGTATTAAGAAAGATGAAATTCATGCATAATTAGAATAGTATCATTGAATAATATTCCAATATTACTTCATTTGCTCATAAACGTTTTGAATTGTTTATTAGTTTTTTCTTCATCTTCAATAGATAATTATTTTAATTCCTAGTTTACACCTGACGAGTTCTTAACCGAGACTGTGGAGGGGTGAAGGGAGTGACTCTTCGGCCTTATTAATAGAACATATTTCTATTTACTCTTTTGTCGTCCAATCACTAGCCCGAATGCTATATTAAGCATTCAGATTGGTTAAGCATTTGGCCGTGTACATTGTCTTGGGCGCTCGTCTATGCATAATATGAAATAATCGAAGACAATAAAAATTAAATCAGATTCTTTTCTTCATATTTGTCTCAAATTCCCTGCAATAAATTATTTGTGAGCTTTCATTTACAGATATGACTTTTATGGAATATAAATCATGCATTTTTATTTTTAATTATATTTATTTTGTTAAATTGTATTAAATATATGCCTTTGGTCCTATATAAAAATACAGTAACTTGTTATTTTCTTATCAAATTATAATATTTCAATTTGATAAATATATATATAATATATACTGTATATATATATATATAACAAATATGTCTTTTACAAATAATAAAATATAAGATTATAGATGAAAATGTTGAAAATGAAAACTGTCCTGCCTTATATCATCTATCCG